TCCTTTTCTCTTTCCTTACCTGTGCCTCGCACCACAAACACACTGCAATGGATCGGCACACCGTGCTGTACAAACATGCCCTTAGGCAGGTGCCACACACAACTCACACACACACAGGAAATGCTGGAAACTAACAAATACAGTTGGGGTAGGAAACCTAAAAAATATCTCTTTAAAAGTCGAAGAGACCCTAAAAACAAACCACTGGAACATATAGTTTTGCAACTTTCAAAACAGACCTACAAAATAATTAGGTGATTGTGGGCTTTGCTCAAACTAACACTTTGCCCCTTTTTTTCCATTTTTTTTTCCCTTTTGCTTGAATAGTGAAAAAAATGTAGCAACAGGGAATTTTACCTTGATGGAGAGGATACATATACAATCAGCACAACACTACACTACAATCCTCTGTCTGTGGCATTAACTTTGAATCATCACGTCTCTTTAAAGTCACTAACCACAGTCTTTTCTCTCCCTGAGCTCCATCAAGTCAAAGGTTGCTCCGGATAGCTGCTGCAGATGTTTTGCTGTGGACTTGCATTTACAGTAGTTGAAGCAGCTAAAGAGTAGGCATTGCTCTCACCTCTGTCCATCTCTCTCTTTCTGCATCTCTGAATATCTCTTTTCTAAACCCAATGCAGCAGCTGCAGACGAATGCTTCACATTAATCTGGTTCTGTTTAAGGTTTCTGCCTGTTAAAGGGGTGCTACACTCATGTGGTTGAAGATGTGATAATACAATACAATACAATAACTTGACTTATCCCCAAAGGGAAATTCATTATGAGAGTGGGCCTGATCTTACAAGATGGGACTTAATCTCATCCCATCTTTACATTGGGTCTTAGTAAATAAAGTATGGTCTAAACTGGCTTTTGAGATAATACTTGTTGTGAATTGACACTATATTAATAAAGATTGATTGATTGATTGATTGATTGATTGATTGATTGATTGATTGATTGATTGATTGATTGATTGATTGATTGATTGATTGATTGATTGATGGGTTAAATGACTGGTTGATTGATTCAAAAATATCAACAGTAAATGCTCTTTGAATAGGCACAACTTTGGCAAGCATGGCAGGTTTAAGCTTCAGTATCATGACATACACTTCTATTTGTCTTTGCTGATTGTTTTTACATCTAAACAACAATAATAAATGGAATACATCAAAACAATAGGATGTACAGATGCCTGTATTCACTTAGCATTTGCTTTTGATTCTACAAACTAGGCATCTAAGTTAAAATAATAGCAAAAATGGGTGGAAGTCTTCGAAGTATGAGCAACCTTTTTTTTCTTTTCTTTTTTTTTTTTCTCCTGGTGATATTCCAGTCATTCCAATTTACTCATGTATATTCTATTCCATATCTGCCAGGTTTGTTCTGCTAAATGTCACCCAACACTGTACATTTACATTTGTTTCCTAATGCATAACAACTTTATTTTTGCTCATTGAAAGAATATGTAAAAAACAATTGATAGAAATTATGTTCTAGCATCAGCTGCGGATGGAGATAGTATTAACAGACCTGGAAGTTGTACCCCAGAATACAATAGGTGGTTTCTTGGAAGTCCCACCTTAAGTTGATTCTGACTGGTCAGTAATGAAGAATTGACACTGATTCGGACAATGGGTGATGTGTTTGGTTTTATGCAATAGTTTATTCTCTTGATGTGTGTGCCTTCATTAGTATATCTGTGTAGTACATTCATGTAAGACTACTTGTTTGTAGTTATTCTTCAGGCTGACTAAATGAACAAGAGCAGCCTTCAAAAAGGTATATACGGAAAGATGAGACAAGATGAGTTCAGCCTCCCTTCATGCTAAGCACACACTGGAGGTCAAGCACCACATTTTTCAACCTCAAGCTCACTCAAGAGCCTTGCTTTTTTCCATAGCTTTATCTTTTTTCTTTGCCTTTCCTGAACTGCCTTTTTATGCTTTTTTTTCCTCTATCAGATGTAGACAGGAGATACTCAGTGCCATGGCACAGCTTGACTACTTTCACTGCCCCAACTCAGTGACCGCTTTTTTTCTTCAGCATGCCACTTTTTCCTCTTACAAAAATCCTGTTAAAAAGTGTGCAAAGGGCAATGCAGACTATCACTCACCCTAAACACACACGCACGCACGCACGCACGCACGCACGCACGCACGCACACACACACACACACACACACACACACGTACCCAACCCCTACCTCTGTGTCCTCTTTGCCCTGGCTGAAATGTATTGTTTAGGTAAATGAGTCTGTGCACCCAGCAGGGGAATCAGCATGAATAAGAATCTGAATGCATTACCTCATTACTCTTTCCCTCTCTCTTTCTATCTCTCTTGCTCTTTCTCTCTGTGTGGTCTCTGCCTCACTCAGCACCCACAGTCCTTGAGAGCTCAAATTGACATTGGAAACCCTAAGTATGTGGGTTGTAGATGTGGGTGTGTGTTTTTTGTGTATCTGTGTTTTTATGTGTGCAGATACATCTGAGTTTGATGGAGTGCTCTTGTCATTTGTGTGCAGTAGATACTTCTTTGTGATTAGTGTTGGGAGAATGATAAAATAAAGATGTGTTTTTTTTTCTAGCTCAAGTGTATATACATCTGTGTAAATCTGGGTATATTTTTACCCACAAAAACTCACCTGCTCGCTTTTCTTTGTTCCCTTTCCTTTTAGTAGCTTCCTGTCTCTGTGTATAAATATATATGTGTGTGTGTGTGTGTGTGTGTGTGTGTGTGTGTGTGTGTGTGTGTGTGTGTGTGTGTGTGTGTGTGTGTGTGTGTGTGCATTCGTCAGGTGTCATCTAGCCAGTCTGATCCCCACAGAAAGCTGCCGCCACTGTTGGCATGGCGACGGCTGCAGTACACTGCTGCCATGGTTTCCAGGCACGCCAAGCAGGGGAGGAGAAGGCCAGCACCATATCACCAGATTCCCTCTGTATATGCATGTTTGTGTGTGTGTGTCCTCTTCACTCCATCCCTTACAGCCCATATTCCCTCCTAACAGCATCTCTGTTGCTATGTTTACATGCAGTCAATATTCGGGTTAACGTCATGACACAATGCACATCTAGGACCTCCTGTACTCAAAAGTCCAAGATTGTTTGACAACAGACCATGCGCAGAACATAAATTTATGTCCCTTTTGATGGGGACCAAATGACCAAATATTCAGGTTAGAAAAGGAGTAGCTCAGGAGTGATTTTAGGGTTCTTAAAAACCAGAATAGGAACATATTCCAGTTTTCCAAAAGGGTTATTGGTATTTACATGGCTGTGTGCAACCGGGTTATTGCTAATAATCTGGTTATGAAAGGGTTAATGACTGCATGTAAACGTAGCCACTGACCTCTTTGTCAGGATGTGCTCCCACCATGTGTAACGAGAGTTTTTCATCTCGCTGGTGTAGTTAACAAGATGATGTGCTAAAATGTTCCCAAATACAGTATGTATTTATAGTCAAGCCTGTGCTGTAAGGCAAGAACTGTTGTACTCATGTGGTTTAGTGTCTTTGTGTTATTAAGTTATCTAGAAATGGAAAAGCCAACCATACAGTGCTTAGAGTCTGGAGCTTAATGTTAACAAAATAGATATTCCCCCGAAACCTACACGTTGTCGTAAAAATGAGTAATTGAGTCTATAAATATGAGCGACACAAAAGAATATTGTGCGTTCAAGCAGAAATATTTTCCGTACACAAGAGTTTGGTCCTACTGTGACCTCAAATCAAAACTTATTTTAAATGTAACAAAGAAGATAATGAGAACTTTTTCTAGAGTCAGTTACAAGTTTCATTATTTATGATGTATCAGAGATACATCTCTCTTACCCTTGTTTCTGACCTCCACACAGGAGTTGACATAATGCTGACTATCTGTGGGCAGACACCCTTCCCAAAGAAGTGCCCCTTTCTTTTTTTTCAGATTGTGTTTGCCTATGGTTACATCCAGTCGCAGAAAAAAGGCATTTATTCTTGTTTCTATCATTTCTGTTTCTGTGGTGTCTCCAGAAACTACAAACACATATACTATGGACAACTTGGTTTGGTTGGTTCTGCCAGAATATGGATTTGAAGCCAAAAAGCTCTCTTAGTGGAGCAGACAAATGCATAATATAGCCCGAATCGTTCACTTTGTTATACAAGCATGAAATTTGGTACATATACTCTTCAAAACCCACTCTTTTCAAAAATAACGTTAGCCACGCAAAATTCCAAGATGGCGGCCCCAAAATCCAAGATGTCCGCCCCAAAAATGTGATTTTTCCTTTATAACTCAAAATGACTTGATTTTAAGCCCCATACATATATTGAAGTTGAATATAAAGTTGGGTATTGCGGACATGTTGGTACCTAGTACATTTCTGTATCCATTACGGTTCTTGAGATACAGCATATAGATACAGATATGTATCTATATGCTGAGAGAGCGAGCATGAGCGAGAGAGCGAGCGAGTCCCTACTCCTAGCAAAGACCGAAGCCCTTCACGAGGCAAATCAAACAATTACCACACTCAAACTCCGTATCCAAAAACTTTCTGAGGAACTTAAATCAAAATCTACACTACTCACAACATGTATGGATGTGGCCCACCAGCAATCGCTCCACCTGTTCTCCCTCCAAGCTACCCTCCAAGACACGCTACCCTGGGAGCCTCACAGCCCAAAGACCTCATCCCGACCGCCATCCACCACAGCACCTAACCAGGACTCAACCTGGACTGAAGTGACAACTCGAATCAGGAAAACCAACAACACCATCCCCTGGAACCCGGCCGGACCTACCTCAAGCTCCACGCCGAGCAATCCACTGCTCCGGTCCGAGATCCTCGCCGGCAGTGGGACGGATCCCTCTAACGATGCCTCCACAGTCTGGTTGGCCCTCTCCAACCGCTTCCAGGCCCTTATGCATCCTCCTAAGCCCGACAGCACCAGCCCGAACCAGTCCCCTCTCCGCGGTGACGTGGCGGCATACTCTACAGCGGCTGCCAGAGCTTCCATGGCTCCTACACGGCCACCCGGTGGAGCCCCCGGACCTTCGTCCTCATCCAGTGATGTCTCCGCGGCGTGCCGGCCCGACGATCTTCGGGCGACCAGCTCCCGGGCGTCACCGGGCGCTGGTTCGAACACTTCCCTGCCGGCATGCAGAGGGATTCCCGAGTGGCCCGGCACCGGCGGAAGGGACCCTTCTCCGTCGGTGCCTGGTCGTGCTCGATCTCCCGGAAACCGCCTGGACCACCGCTCTGAGAGCCGGACCGCGTCCTCGGCCGCCCGCAGGAGGTTTCTCCGAGAGGCAGTCCGACGGAACTCCGCCGGGCCCACCACCACCGCCTCGGACCGAGATGGCAGACCATCCCCGCTGCCGCAGCCGTCCACCGCACCTCCGAGTCCACCCAGCCCAGCCATCAGCTCTACTTCGGGCACAGGAGCCATGCAACCCCCGCCGCTGTTCCCACCCACCACCTTGATCGTCGGCGACAGCATCACACGAGGTATCCGTTTCTTCAACGCCACTACTCATTCTTTCCCCGGTGCAACTGTCGCCGACATCATGACAAAACTCCCCGGTCTTCTTCAGTCACTCCCTCCCTCTATCCACCGCATTATTGTCCACGTCGGCACCAACGACACAGCTCACAAACAATCTGAACTGACCAAAATGGACTTCAAATCACTTCTCCACATCCTTCAGTGCAGCGGCAAATCTGTTTTTATAAGTGGTCCGCTACCAACGCTAACACGTAGCATTGATCGTTTTAGCCGCCTCCTCAGTCTGAACTCCTGGCTTCGCTCACTCTGCAGCACCCTCTCCACCCACTTCATTGACAATTTTAATCTGTTCTGGAATCGACCCCCATTTTTCTCCCATGACGGACTTCACCCAAACAAACTGGGCTATTATACACTCATTGCCAATATCCAACACCATATACACACCAACTGACTAGCACTGTGGACACTCTCCCTGTCATCCTCTTCCTCCCTGCCTGTCACTACCCCACCTGGAAACAGCGCCCTCCAGAGCCCCCCCTCCGAGACCCTCGCCCTCACCATCCCCACCACCGGCTCCCCCAACAGGCCCCAACTGGTACTGCACACCAATCCCATCGCCTCCACTACAGCAAGCTCCCCCTCCCGTCCCAAACTGGTACTGCACCCTCCAATCACAGAGACTCTCTGCCATTCTGTCATTTCACCAGGATCTCACCACAGCTTTTGCATTCAAACAGTCACAACTACTAGACCCTCCTGCTCAAATCCTATGCATGCAAAACAAAGGACAAGAAATCAAACAAACCTCCGCTGCCTTCCCCCTGCCTCACTGCCCACCCCACAGCCCCCTACCCTAAAGGTGGCCCTTCAAAACACCCGCTCCCTCAACAACAAAGGACACATCATTGCCGACTTTTTAACAGACAATAACCTGGACTTTCTCTGTTTAACCGAAACCTGGCACAATCATCTCGACCTCTTCCCACTAAACCAAGCCACACCCCCCGGTTACACAAGCAGACCCTCAAGACCACCCCCATCCCCACCCCGACTGTCCACTCATTTGAACACATTTCAGTCAAACTCCCTGGCCCCACCCCACTGGTCATTGTCACCATCTACCGCCCTCCAAAACCCCACCCATCATTCCTTTCTGATTTCTCTGAACTGGTCACCCAACTAAATACCATCTCATCCTCTGTCCTGTTACCTGGCGACTTCAATTTCCTCATCGACAACCCCACATGCAAACAAGCCTCTGATTTTCTGGACCTACTCGACACCCTCAACCTCACCCAGCATGTACACTCCCCCACCCACTCCAACGGCCACACCCTCGACCTCGTCTGCTCTACCGGCATCTCCATCCAGCATCTCTCCACCACCAACCTCTACATATCTGACCACCTGGCCGTCACTTTCAGCATTGACCTGGATCCCATCCCATCCTCCCTCATCAAGCACTGCCTCCCCGTCATCTCTCCCATCATTACACAGATCATCAACTCCTCCCTCAACTCTGCCACTGTTCCCCCTTCACTCAAACTGGCTGCTGTCACCCCCATCCTTAAAAAACCTGGACTCAACCCTGACGATATCAATAACTTCCGGCCCATCTCCAACCTCCCTTTCCTGTTGAAAATCCTGGAACGAGTCATTGCATCACAGATCAAAGTCCACCTCAACAATAACAATCTCTATGAACTGTTTCAATCAGGATTCCGCACCCACCACAGCACCGAAACTGCCCTCATAAAAGTCACAAACGACCTTCTCATATCTGCTGACTCCGGCCAACTCTCCATCCTCATCCTCCTTGACCTCTCCGCCGCTTTTGACACCATTGACCACGCCATCCTCCTGACCCGCCTACACTCCCTCCTCAACATCACAGACACTGCTCTCAACTGGATCCAGTCATATCTCACAAACCGGAATCACTTCATCCACATCAACAACTGCTCCTCCAAAACTGCCCCCGTGTCCCAAGGTGTCCCCCAGGGTTCGGTGCTTGGTCCTCTCCTCTTTATCATCTACCTCCTCCCTCTCGGCCACATCCTCCGCCAACACAATCTCCATTTCCACTGCTATGCTGACGACATTCAATTATATATCTCTTCCACCTCCATCACCCCCCAGACCCAACTCTCCCTCTCAAACTGCCTCACTGATGTTAAAAACTGGATGGACAGCAACCTTCTAAAGCTCAACTACAACAAAACAGATCTCATCATCATTGGCCCAAAATCCCTCACCTCCACAGTCACAGACTTTCATCTCTCCATTAACAACTCCACCCTCTCCCCCTCCCCCCACTGTCGCAACCTTGGAATTCTCTTTGACAGCAACCTCACCTTCACACAACACATTAAGCACATCACCAAAACAGCCTACTACCACCTCAAAAACATTGCCCGCCTCCGCCCCTCCCTCTCCTACTCTGCAGCCGAAACCCTCATACATGCATTCATCTCATCCCGTCTAGACTACTGCAACAGTCTCCTCCACGGCACTACCTCCACTCTCCTCAATAAACTTCAGCTCATCCAGAACTCTGCCGCCCGCCTCCTCACCCATACACGCTCCCACCAACACATCACCCCCGTCCTCCAGAACCTACACTGGCTCCCCATCCCCCATCGCATTCAGTACAAAATCCTCCTTCTCACCCACAAAGCACTCCACAACCAGGCCCCCCCCCCCACCTGCAAGATCTTCTCCACCCCTACACCCCCCCCCGCACCCTCCGCTCCGCCGATGCCAACCTCCTCACAGTACCCTCGACCAAGCACCGAACCTGGGGGGACAGAGCCTTCTCAGTCACTGCCCCCACCCTATGGAACTCACTCCCACTGGACCTCAGAAACTGCTCCAACCTTACCAGATTCAAAACCCAGCTCAAAACTCACCTTTTCCGCACTGCTTTTCATCTTCCTTAGCCCCCCCCCCCCCGATTGTTGATTTTACCTGATTTTACTTGATTTTAATTGATATTGATGTATTTTATTGTATATTGATGTATTTTTATTGCATATTGATGTATGATTTTAGTTATGTACAGCGTCTTTGAGTCTGTGAAAAGCGCTTAACAAATAAAATGTATTATTATTATTATTGTTATTATTATATAGAATTGGGAGAGTGAGAAATTTGTAACACCAATTGTTGTTACGTGCATATGGTTGTATGAAAATATCCTTTCCATTATCTGTTATTTTCATGAGGGTTATAACATTAAATATGAAAAACAAGCTGGTGTCCAAGATGGCTGCCATTGCCTTGAAGTAATCCGATCTTAGTGACTATGAAACATTAACTTTTTGCATGCACATATTTTTGGTCTATGCATCCAATGGGGCCATTGCAGTACAGAATTTAGATGTTTATACAGTACAAGCTTGCAGATGTAATAGAGTGAATATCGGCACACAACCAGGGCACACTGGTGATATCACTGCTGTGTAACTCAGCATGACCTCCAGGAGTTCTTTCAGCATGAGAACCAGTCCTTCCCTGTTGCACTGAGCATGGGTGGAAAATTGTACATTTGCCAGAAGTCTGAGCTGACCCCTATCCTTGAGAATTATGTCCCACCAGTTGACAAGGAACCTGAGGCAGATGTTCTCATTGTAGATGGGTCAGCTTTGGACCACGCCCTGCCACCAAAAAGATCCAAGACTTTTGAGGACTATGCAGCTCTTGACTTCCTACCTGTGATTTACATGTACTCCAGCAAGTACACAATGACACATCTGAGGCCTGTACTACGAAGCTGGATTTGGTCTTAGCGAGATAACTTCTGGATAACTTCTGGGTTTTCTGTACTACGAAGGTGGATCTCTTTTTATCCGGGTCCGTTGCCCCGGTAACTTACGCGGAACGCCAAACCTGCTCCGGAGCAGGTTATGTTTCAGGATAAGAGCTCAGCAGGTATTAAAGACCGCCCAATGACCAATCGGATCTCTTGGAAAATGGCTTGCCCACTTTTGCCGGATCCCGGGGACATCGTTGCACGGATAGTGAGAGGAGCGCTCCGCCGAGAGCATTATATTCATGATTGTTCAAATCCGTTTGATTTACCTGATGACGTTCTCTATGAACGCTACAGGTTTTCCTGGGACGGCCTCAATATTCAGGTAGCATGAAGTCTAAGCAATACACTGATATTTGCCAAGCTCCAGGTTCAAATTTGTTAGTCATCATTCAGAATTCATTGAAGCAGATTAGAAAACTCTTAACCCCAAATGTGTCTGCAGATGACGTGACCATCAGATGATGGAGAAAAAAAAAGGCAGTGTGAGGAAATCACTGTTTACGCGTTGAAGTATGTACAAATAAAATCTTCCAATAAACTTACAAACTACTTTAAAGGATGTTTTTAGATTTATTTTTATTTGCTCCCACGTACTCTTTTCCCCATTGCTGTTGTGTCTGAAATAATGAGGTCAGTGATGGTGGTGATCACACACGCTGCATGACAATATATTAGGGGGCCATACATTTATGAACGCACAAATGTAATTTACACAACCGGTGATTTTTTTTGCCGGCAGTCCCTCCGGCTTTTAGCGGCTTTGTCTGTCTCACGGTTTAAATAAAGCTCTGTTCTTCAGCTGTGAAAAATGACGTGCAGCCTTCTCCATTGTGGAGATTGGTCCGGTGGCACTGACCCGACCCCCTTTACGTGTGCGCGCACAGATCTGAACTGGATTCAGTTATCGAGTTGATATCCTGCTTCGTAGTACAGCTGATCGGGATCGCGGAGATCCGGTGAAGTTGAGCGAGTTGTCGCAGAGTTATCCTGGATTTGTTAATCCAGCTTCGTAGTACAGGCCTCTGGTCTTTGATGTGTAAAATCCATCAAGCCTTAAAGCTGAGACCAGGTCCAAACGTGGCCAGGGGGAAAGACGCAAGGTAACAAATAAGAACACCATGCTATCTAACTGGCATAACTTCCTGAGGCACAATGACAACAAAACAGAGTTGTCCCACCCTTGCCGACAAGGTTGCACAAATGTATGCCCTAAATACCATCATCTTCACAAAGGGACCTGCTGTCCTCAGCACTCGTGCAACTGGTCTTGATGGACTGGATAAATGCTCTCACGAGGAAGCGGACAGCAGCATCTTCGTGCATGCCAAACATGCAACTGGAAGCCAATCCATCATGATCAAGGCAAATGACACAGATGTTCTGATCTTAGCAATAAGTGTATTCAGTGGTCTCCAAGAGGCTGGCCTACAGCATATGTGGCTTGCATTTGGGCAAGGTCAGACTCTGCGCTGGATCAGTGTGCATGACATATTTCAGCATGTTGGCCAGGAGAAGGTAAAAGGCATGCTCTTCTTCCATGCCTTTACAGGATGTGACACTGTGTCTGCCTTCCGCAACAAAAGCAAGAAAATGGCATGGCACACATGGGACATATGTCCAGAATCCTTGCCTGTATTCGCCAAACTGGGTATTTACCCTCCCACAGTGGAGGACTGCGACATAGAGGAGAAGACAGCCTCCATGTGGCCTCCCCCGCAAGTAGCCAGAGAGTAGTTGCCCTTTAAGCAAAACAAACGTCTTTGAAATGTCCAACACCCGTGGCTAACGTTATTTTTGAAAAGAGTAGGGTTTGAAGAGTATATGTACCAAATTTCATGCTTGTATAACAAAGTGAACGATTATTTCCTTATCTGCTCAGCTATCTGTATTTCCGTTTGTTTTCTCAAATTCCTAAAACCAACATTGCGCAGTAGCGTTGTACGCACTCCACCACTTGCGCAGTAGCATTGTACGCGTTCAGCAGGAGAGTCGCCAAGAGTCGCTGTAATGACACTCGGCTCTAACAATGTATCTCCCAGGTGAGCTACGCAATCTTCGTATGCCCATAGGCTCTATCAAGTGTCAACCATAGAAAACATGAACCCCCTAATAACTTTTAAAAATGAAGCTGTACAGAAAAAAAGAGGACTTGAGCAAAAACCAGTCTTACAGTAACTACATGTCAACATTGCAACCAGGGGTGAGAAAAATGTATATTCTGTGTAATTAATTTCTAAAGTTTGTCCACAGCCCCATAGGGATTGCCCTATTGGGGCTGTGGACGGGATGTATGACCTATACTGCAGCCGGTCACAAGAGGGTGCTGTTCTCGGGGTGGCTTCACCCAGCAAGGAGGCAGACACTGTCCATTCTATATACAGTCTATGGTTGTCTCTTAAAGGGATATTCCAGCGTAAAATTAAGTTAGGGTCAAACACACCGTAAAGCTGCAAACATACAGGATCCATATCAAGAGCGTTCCGTATTTGCTCTGTAGAGCAGCCCTGAGTATCGCATACAGGATGCATATTTGGAGTGTATCAGCAGCGTAGTGCGGCCCTGGTCAGCTGGGCTCAGTATAGAGGAAACAACATGCTCAAAACAGGTTGTTTTGCCTCTCTGTGGTCTATTATCTGCTAATTTTTGAGATAATTCAGTGACTGTTGAGCCTCTACCCTATGTGAAAAAGCAACGTGATTTTACAGTTTTGTTTTTTGCAGGTGTTTAATAAAGTAAACCATGTTCCTGTACGCTGTGCTTTTAGCTTCAGACAGAGTTAGCAGTTCAAAATCCTGTTGGGTTCACATGACTCCTGACTCCACCTCCTGACTGGTGAGTGTGCGCATTGCATCATTCTGTTCCTTGCTGTTGAACTGTGTAGTGTTTTGCTCCTCCCGATAGTGTTCTAGCTGTTTGGGTTATTTTCTCTCTTTAATCTTATCAATGTCTGTTTGTTTAAAAGTCTGTGAGTATATCTGATAGTTTTTACCAAGCACCATCTTTATCTCCATTCCAGGTGATTTCTCTGGTGGTTTACTTTAGTAGCTTTTAGCTTCTCTTAGCTTCACTCTCTAACGATGGCTTCCCCCCCGTCTCCTGCTTCTCCTACTCGCTTCTGCTCTGTGTAGTTTATTCTTAGCTCATCCCACTCAAGATGGAACGGCCCATTTATCCGGAAATCTAGCAGATTTTATTAGTCCTAACCACTGACAATTCAGAGCGGAGATCAGGGAGCAGAGTTGCAGTCCTACACGCTCCTCTGTGCCTCCTTTAAAGCAGCTTCCCAATAAAATGTGGTCTACTGAATATAAAGTCTCTAAGTTCCAAATCTGTGTTAATAAATGAACACAGGACTCTGGCTGAGGTGGTGGAGTTGCAGCTATTTATAATTCCAGTCTTCGAATTAACCCTACACCAAAACTAAATTGTAACTTTTATGAAAATCTTGTTCTCAGTCTTGTGCATCCAGCCTCAAAGACCATGAGACCACTGGTATTTGCTATAGTTTATCGCCCTCCCAGCCCATACGCAGAGTTTTTGTCAGAATTCTCAGAGTTTCTATCTGATCTAGTCCTTAGTGCAGACAAAATCATTGTTGTTGGTGACTTAAATATTCATGTGGATGTGGAAAATGATAGCCTAAGCATTGCTTTCTTGTCCTTGTTAGACTCAACTGGGTTTACAAAGTGTGCACATGGTCCTACACACTGTTTTAACCACACCCTCAATCTTGTCCTGGCTTATGGCCTTGAAGCTGAAGCCTTATCAGTCAGCTCATTAAATCCTCTTTTATTGGATCACTTCCGAATAACTTTTGAATTTGTGCTATAAGGCTATTCTCCTCATAACAAAACCGTGCTAACTAGAAGGTTGTCTGAAAATGCTGTGACTATGTTCAAGGAGGCAATTACGTCTGCTCTTAACTCTGTGCTTGAGAACAACTTCACTGATAGCTCATACTTGGCCGTTAGTCCCTTGTGACTTTATCAGTTCGTTGATGATTCCTCAGGCACACTGCAATTAATGCTTGGCTCAGTTGCTACTCTTCGACAGAAAACTGTTTAACGCGAGAGGCTGGCTCCATGGTATAATGCTGAAACTCGTGAGCTGAAACAGTTTTTAAGAAGACGAGAAAGGATTTGGCACTCTTCCAAAACAGCTGAAGCTCATTTTCTCTGGCGGGACTGTCTTGACAAATATAAGAAGGCCGTGTGATGTGCTCAGGCAACTTACTACTCGTCTCTTATTGAAGAAAATAAGAATAACCCCAGGTATGTCTTCAGTACTGTAGCCAGGCTGACGGACTGTCAGAGCACCGCTGAACCGTGTATCCCTTTAGCCCTCAGCAGCGATGACTTCTTAAGCTTCTTTAATGGAAAAATCTTAAAAATAATAGGTAAAATTAGTATTCTCTTGCCTTCAACAGGTGTCTTTCTCTTAGTTTACCCAAAAATTGTTGAGGAGCCCCTAGGGCCTCTGGTGCACCTTAGTAACTTTGCACCTATTGACCTTCCTGAGTTAAAGTCAGTGGTGCTGGCAGCCAAACCATCTACGTGTCTTTTAGACCCAATTCCATCTAAACTGCTGAAGGAAACTCTTCCTTTGATTAGTACGTCCTTGCTTAACTTGATCAATACGTCTTTATTAACAGGATATGTTCCCCAGTCTTTTAAGACTGCGCTGATTAAACCTCTCCTTACAAAACCTACTCTTGACTCAGGCACCCTAGCTAACTATAGACCAATAGTCAACCTTCCTTTTATTTCTGAAATCCTCGAGAAAGTTGTTGCAAATCAACTCTGTGATTTTCTTCATAACAACAGTTTATTGGAGGATTTCCAGGCCGGATTTAGAACCCATCACAGCACGGAGACCGCTCTGCTGACAGTGGTTTTCTCTCTGTTCTTGTCCTGTTAGATCTTAGTGCCAACCACCGCATCCTGCTCCAGAGACTGGAACAATCTATAGGCATAGCAGGAACCGCTCTGTCCTGGTTTAAATCTTATTTAACAGATTGATCTCAGTTTGTCCGTGTTAATAATGAATCCTCTGCGCACACCAAGGTCTGCTATGGGGTCCCGCAAGGGTCAGTGCTTGGAGCGATCCTCTTTACCTTGTACATGCTTCCTCTGGGTAAAATTATGAGGAAGTGCTCGATTAATTTCCACTGTTATGCGGATGACACCCAGTTATACTTATCCGTGAAGCCAGAAGAAACAAATCAGGTTACCAAATTGGAAGCTTGTCTCAAAGATATAAAATCCTGGATGACCAATAACTTTCTGATCCTCAACTCAGACAAAACTGAAGTTCTTGTCCTTGGTCCTAAACACCTTAGAGAGGCATTCTCTAAAAACATAGCTACGCTAGATGGCATCGGTCTGGCATCCAGTTTTCATGCTTGACATCCTGTCTATAACACTCTTCTCTGTGTGGGTTGACACGCAATGGAAGTATAGAGCAGCAAAAATAGTCTTGTCGCGTGTCTTTAGCAATGCTGCTCTTGATAAGTTTCCTGGGACAGAGCTGATACGCGTTCTGTATGCTTTGCTGCATTGATAGGAATGGCAGCCTATTTGCTGCGTGATACGTGACGCTGCTGCCATGCTCCAAATACACATGCTATATGTTTTAGCTTTAACACAGAGTTAGACAACCCCTTGAGTGATGAATGTTGCCAACTTCTCTAGTTATACCAACTTTAGTAAAGACTGCATGATAGCAATAATGAGCAGTCTACATCTCCACATGTAAACCTCGACCAAAACACCACTCTATAGCCACTAATAATGCTCAGAACAGCACCTAACTTCATCAACAGTACATATAGGGTCCCAGCGATAGCAAAGGCCATCAAACATCTTTTTAACTTTGCCTGGTTTCTTTAGCAAAGAGACTAAACACAACTCACCTACTCTCCTCCAGTTGCTGCTTGTTTGTGGGGGAGCCCTGATGACTCGATAATCTGGATCACAGATTACCTGATAGGAAGGCCACAGTTTGTCAGGCTGGGGAACTGTGTTTCTGGGACATTAATGAGCAGTACAGGGGCTCCACAAAAGGACAGTCCTGGGGCCATTGCTGTTCATACTGTTCACACATCAGACTTCAAATACAGCACTGAGTCCTGCCACATCCAGAAATACAT